ATTGATTGATATCATCGACGATGAGATGCATTCAATTGGCGCACAAAAGATAGCAATGCCTTCACTCGTGTCTAAAGAACTTTGGGATAAATCAGGTGTGGATTCAGAGAAGATATTTACATATAATCGACGATATGTTGAGCCAATTGTTTGATTGTCACCAACAGGTCGTTGGAGTGATTCGGCCGAAGAGCTCTTCAGATTGAAAGACAGACAAAAGACTGACTTTTGTTTAGCGCCCGTAAGAATATTCTGATCCATTTGTTTGATATGTATTTTTATAGTAATATTTGACTCAAATTTATAATTAAGACTCACGAAGAAGTTGTCACTAATTTAATAGCAACGGCCAAACACTTGACTGAAATTCATTTACCGATATATTTATATCAAATCACATCTAAATTTAGGGATGAAATGAAAGCCAAACACGGATTGTTGAGAGGAAGAGAGTTCGTTATGAAAGGTATTCATTCGTCGCTCATTGAATCATATTTAACGAAACTCTTCACTCAAATCAGATTTATATACATTTGATGCAAACGAAAGTCAAGCGATTAAAACATACGAAAAAGTTTGCAATTCATACGAAAATATTTTCAAACGATTAGATTTACCGGTTATTAAAGGTATGGGAAATATGTGTTTTAAATGTTTGTCAATTGAAAAAATACTTTGTAACCCAAAGCTCGTGCATCTGTTGGAAGTATTGGTGGAAAATATTCCGATGAGTTTGTATTGCCGTCTGATTTAGGCGAAGATGAGATCTATAAATGCAATGCATGTCAGACAGCGTTCAATACAGAGCTGGTCCTCAATGGATCAGATGCGGAGTGCATCTCATGTAAAAGCAATGATTTAACAAAAATGAATGCCATAGAAGTCGGACACGCATTCCTCCTCGGGAACAGATATTCGGCCAAATTTGACGCTAAATACTCGTCAAATGACACGAACGCCAAAAAGTAAATAACAATTTGTTAGCAAATTTTATGCCGGAATCTAATGTTTGGTTTAATTTGAAAGCATTTATGAGATGGGATGCTATGGTTTAGGTGTGAGCCGTATATTAGCCGCTGCTGTGGAAGTGTTGTCACAAAACCACACTATATGTTGGCCCAAAGCGTTGGCACCTTTCAAACTATGTGTTGTTTTGCCTAAAGTATTGATTTGTTGGAGTTTTATTGTAATGATTAGTATTAATAATTTAAATGATGTATTGATTTATAGCGTGGCAGCAAAGAAGACACTGGAAATGGGACTGTATTTGGACAGCAATTCGCTAATTGTTTGTCAAATGTGTTAAACGAAGATATTCTCATTGATGACAGAACTACTCAGACAATCGGTAGACGTCTGACAGGTCTGCAAACGTTAGGCATTCCCTATACTATAATCGCCGGCAAACAAATCACTGATGAAATTCCCAAATTTGAAATCATTGATAACCAAAGCAAACAAAACTATTTTATGACTCAATTAGAATGCATTCAATTCTTAGAGAATTTATTATAACTTATGATACTTTGTATTTATAATAATTAAGTTTACCATAATTTAGTACCTTTTATATAATAATTGGATATTAAAATAGAGTTTACAGCAATTACTGCCTTATTTTTAAATCAATTTAATTGTTATTAATTATGCGACAAATAATTACTTAAATAAATGAATTGTTTTTAATTTGGGTGTTATTTTATTTAATAAGAAGAATCTCGAAACGTAAAGGACTTATATTTAAAAATAATTTTTATAAACTTAATAATTATAAGATTTTAATTTATGGTTACTAATATTGATTATTTAGACAATTCATTAATTAAGGTAATTTTTAAAGATTTTACTGATGTTGGCGATTATGCCTTTGAGATTGTGTTCACGTAATTATTTAATCAATATATTATATAAATTATGTAAATTTGTATGTTTTTATTGTTTATGAATTTTTACAATATTAAATAAATATTTATTTTAATTAACTACTGATTAATATGCTTTGAATTTTGAATGATATCGTACAACTGGTTAAAACAAGATTAGATTTCAAATATGATATTCAAGTCCACATTCATAATTTCCGATTTCTAATTGTAAGAGAGACAAATGTTAAAAGTATGAGCTTGGTAATTCTTTAATGTGATTAATAATTTCATATGGATTTTATATCAAATCTATCATTAAACATATAATTAATAATGTAAATTTTGTTACATTTATAAAATTCTTAAGAGTTAGCTTGTTTAGTTTGAAAGTGCTTAAGAAATTAAACCGTTAAATATTTACCGTTAAATTAATTTGTATAGTTATTCTGTATATTGAAAGCTAACTATACCTAAAAATATAAAATAAGTTTTGAATAAACTATGTTTAAAATGTACTCAAAAACACCATTTAATTCACATCTGTGTCTGTGTTTTGTATGCATTGAAACATAATCTTTAATGAAAGTAGAATTTATGTCAATTATATTCAATTAAATGCATATTTATTTGAATATAATTTGATAATAGTTTGTTATTATGCAAATCTAAAACTAACCAGTTAAAACTTCATAATTATCATCTCAATTATATAACTTTATTGATTTGCTGACATAGATCCTTTAATCAATATTATATCACAACTAATTCTAAGCTAAATGTCAGCTGAAATGAATGATTTGTCTCTCAATAAACTTAATTAGCTTTGATTGATATCATTATTGTATCAATACTTATATTAATATCAATAAGGATTAGGAATTTACTGACAAATGATATTTGCTATGAAACAGGTGTGGAATTGGAGTAACTGTCCTTTCAATCAATATTATTCTAGCAGTTCATCGCTTATCACTTCATAAATCCATATAACCCTTAAACCTACCAAATGAACTAAATATAACCAATATTTCATCAAGTGTTTTCGTATAATTTAATTACATACAATTTATACATTTTATACAATAATATATTCGTATAACAAAACATTAACCAGAATTATGTTTATTAAATGTCTAGATTTTTTGTATTCATTTTATATTGATAAGTTTATTGTCCAATTATTTAATTGATAATATTCTTCATAAATAAGTTTAATTGAATTCATTTATTGCAATCAATAAAATAAAAGAATGGTTTGAAAACTTAAAGTTTTAATCAATATATAAATTATTTATAATATTATTGTTTTGTTATAAATTACATTGATAATTTATTCTGATAATAAATAATTCAATTAAAACTGCACAAACACTTATTCTACATTATATAATAATAATAATTTAAATATTTTTTATTCATTTTCAAGAAATGTAAGAACTTTTTAAAAATCTTTTACATTTTTTAATGAAAGAAATTATAAATGATTTGAAAATTTAACACATATATAGAGTTTATTTTAAGTTACAATAAGTTATTAAATAATTCAATAATGTAATGGTTTTGTTGATAACTATTTGCCACTTTTCTGCATCTTTTCCCGAAATGAGCCTAAATTTGGCCAATTGTTGCCCTTATAGTGGAGGATATAATCGGGTAAATCCACACCCATTGCCGCTGAAAATACAAAATTTATATATTGTTATTAATTTAAATGTAATATTATTATTAATTTAAGTAAATTTAAATAAACTAAACAATATATTCTAAATCGTTCGTTAACATAAAAATAACATTAACATGGTTGTTTTTTTCTGTATGTGATATATTTGAAAACAAATTCATGCCAGCATTGAAATAAACAAATTTGTTATAAAGTTATAATCGGAAAATACTATTACGAATAAAATTACGAAGATAATTTCTCATGGGCAAAGAGTGGAACACGTTCCATTTCCAAAATTTGTATATATGTTCTAGATGTGAGCTGACTTTTTTGTGAGCTATATGTTGTAATGAAACAAACTCTCCTTATTTAATTGCTTATAACCTTGCTTACAAAATAGTGACTCTTTATATTTTATATCAAAAATGTGTATTTAATTAAAGTTATTTTGGTTTATCTAAAATATTATTTATTAACTTTAAACAATTCAGTAATTATACTGAATATCTATAATAAGTGCGAGCATGAAGTTATTTGTTATATTAAAATACAGTAAGTAAAATGCTAAGAAATTATAATTTATAAATATGCAAAATATTATAATAGTTAGCTTTCTGGAGACGATTACAATGATTAGTAATTGATTGCTGACAGTATACAGTATGCACACAATTACTTGAAAATACACAACAATATTTGAGTATTATAAATAAAATACTATATTTAATTAATGACGATAATAATTGTGGTCTGATTAGCTCATAAACTATTTGTCCTTTAAATTAAATAAATTCATGAATGAATTATGATTATAACGGAGTGTTTATCACAATATTGTCTACAAATGAGGAAAGTTTTACATAAATAGGAAAAACACTTGAAATGATCTATTATTATAGTTTTGACGTAAAAAATAATTAATTGGATTAATCAATGAATACTAATAATTGATATCAACTGATATGATATCAAATATGATGTGTGAACATTGCATATGTGACGGGTTAGGTCTTCCCACACATTTAAACACTTCTTAACTAATGATCTATTTGTTTGATTAAATATATGCTTTAAAATTGAATTTAACGTTAATACAAAAAATGTACGTAAAGAACAAATATGACAACATTTTCAATTGATCATGGTTAATAAATGAAATCTAGTGATGACTTACCGGCCCTTTTAGAAGCCGATCGCAGAAACGAGTGTTCCTTAAGAAGTGGTTGATATAAGTCAGGCGTCAGACTGTCATCGTATTCATCGGCTGATCTTTGGACACGACTTAATTGACTTCCACTCATTTGATGGTATTTTGAATGAGAGATTTGCACAGATTTTGCTGATATAATTGATGTCAAACATAATATCATTACAAAAGTAATGGATATCGTAATGGTTTGAATCTTCATCTCTGAGATCATTTTCGTTTCGACAAAACTTTTCTGGATGTGACAGGAAGTCGGATATCAGTTATATCGTACAGTATATCAGTTTTATAGTAAATCATTTATAACTTGTATATCAATTGATTTAACTATTGCTAACAAGTTTGTAAGGAAAACTTGAATGAAATTAGATAAGAGAAAAACTTTTACTACAATTACAGTATTAATGTATTATAATCTGATTGCTATTAATTTGTTATCCAATAAAAGCTATTCGTAGAAAAGTTAGTAAAACTTCGCGTAAAAGTATTGAATATTAAATAAATATTATGACAAAAATATTAAATTCAAGAACTTTTTAATTGTATGGCATTGAAAAGTATCTTTAAAGACATAAAATATAATTCTCATAAAAAAAGTATGCAAAACTTTTGTAAAGTAATGTTAAATAAAAAATGTGTTGAAAATAGATATAAAACTTACCAAAATATTGAGGAATGTATTGAAACAAATAAAATACAATTCGAGCGAAAACTGAAGATCCGATTTAACAATAAATTAAAGCAATAATCAAAAAGATTTTATTTGAAATTTAAGAGAGATTTTCATTGACTTTCATAATATCAGAGAGAGTTTGTATGAAAGTATAATATTAGATGAGTTCATAATATGGTTCTTAGTTTTTATAATGAACTCCGTCTCCGCCCATAGGATTGACGGCACAAATCACAACAAATTGCTTTAAAATGACGCAAATCGACAAAAATTAGTCGACATATCAGAGAAGACTATTCCGGGTAAATATTATACCAATTTAT